ATTAAACCCGGTAACTGCTTCCCATGCTGTCCAGTGTAGCTTTGCTAATTGCTAATTAGCACTAAGCACAAAGTGCAGCTCAGGATAATGGACATTCAAATAGTTTTGTTGGCATTTGGTCACTGACCTGTGAAATTTATTTGATAAGTGCCAAGATATTTCAATTACAACTGCAAACCCAGCAGGGCTTTAATCTGCAAAATAATAATGAGAAGAAGGAAAAAACAAAAATGTAAAAACCAGAATCTAAAAATGTACAGCTGATGACCGTCACACTGCTTAGAACCATCACCTGACTCAACTCAATACAGCTGCCTTAACAACCAGTGTCGTTTTAGCGGATCAAATCCACAGCCTTACCTGTTGTTCTTTCTGTTTTTGACTTTTTTTTTTCCCCAGAAAAAGGTCCGTCCAAGTACATTTTAACAGAATCTGTGATGACTTGGCACAAGGCTCGGACCTACTGTACATCCCATCACACAGATCTTGCCAGTGTGAGAAACACGTCTGAGAATTCTGTCATCAAGTCGCTCCTGTCAACGAAAACCTGGATTGGTCTCCACAGAAAGCCCTGGTCTTACTGGTCAGATCAGACTCCTGTCACCTACACTAACTGGCACCCAGATGAGCCCATAAACCATAACAGCAAGGAATCGTGCGCTATTGTGAATCCACGCTCAGCAAAGTGGATAAACAGGAAGTGTAACTACAAAGGGCGCCACTTTGTCTGTGAAAGCGTGTTTCACCCAAAGAACAGAACAATGTTCAAGTTGAGGTTCCGGTCTGAGGCCGAGCTGAACGACCCGGACGTTCAGCATCAGATTTTAAAGCAGGTACCCCCCAAACATGACACACAGTTCCCACACTTTCTTTTCTGCTTTTCAATAGCGTCATAAAAAAAAAAAGGAACAAAATGTGTGTGAAAGAATTTAAAGATGTTGTGTCACTGGTTTTTATGTGTATTCTTGTGTAGCTGCATGCTAAGCTGGAGACAAATGGATTACCACACTTGAAACTCCGCTGGACTCCAACGGATGGGCGAGTTTTTCACAAGGAACAAAAGGACAAAGAACCAGGTAAAGAGAAGA